GCAACAGTATCGCCATTGTTCATTATTTTTAAAAAACTAAGGTTTTAAACTTGAAAAACTTTGCGAGTTTTTGGCCGATTTTCTTGCATGATACACGTTGAAAAGCTTGAATTTCACGTTCTATTTTCGTATCCATTGCTAGGCAACCCGATAAACACGTGCTCAAATATCATGCCCGCAAGTTCAGGAGTCATGTCAGGGCGCATTGCCACGTACCCCCTTGCCAATCTCAGGGCGCATTCGGGTGCATTGCCGCTTAATGAGTTAAAGAACATCACGGCAAGGTTTTTCCCATTGAACAGTCGGGATACTTTTTGCTATTTGTTTGAAAACAAAAACTCTGGTTTTAAATAAGTTTTAAATTGTCCATGAATATGTTTGATACAGTAAAATAATAAAGGAATCCTACCTTTCAAGTTAAATACAACATTTTGTGCTTCTTTCGTTTTCTGGGGACGATTTTTTCAATATTTTGTCGATTTTGAAACCAAATTTGCAGAGTCATTCTTTTTGAAAAGCATTATTTACTACCCAGGTGGTAAATAATGCCTCAGATTCAGGGGCGGATCCAGGATTTTACAATGTAGTTTTGCGAGCGGTGAATGCGCAAGGCACCAAGGGGGGGTCTGTCCCCCAGGAAATTTTATATTTTTTAACCTCAGAAATGCAATTTGCATCACTCTGAAAGCAGCTTCAATAAAAAATTAACTTCATGAAATGGGAGATAATTATAGCAACTATCAGTCTGACTGACTCTCACAACTCGTTCCTTAGGGAAAAGTGAAGGAGAAGTACTTGCAAAAATGTGATAATTGTGGAAGATGTTTCATTTCATCAAATTACGGATTGCTAGTATTATGTTTAACTATCTCATGATAGTAATACACTCATTTTTGTTGCCTAATAGCCTTATCATTGATCACTTGACTAGTAATCACTACAGTGTCATATTACTCAAATAAACATATATCAATATTAAAGTCTTAACATTCATCTATAAAACCGGACCCTATATATCCTATCTATACTGCATTAATGCATTTATATAGGTTATCCTCCATATTAATAGCCTTCTGAGTTCTGACGGTCCTTCAACCGCAGAATTAGAAATATCCAAATTTGTTGTGTAAATCAAAACTCATAGCTAAATCTAAATCAAGATACGCATATTCAAATTACAATTTAACATATGTATGGTGCGTATCTTGTTCGCTTATAAATATTGTTATGCTGTCTAAAATGAAATAAAATTTACATCTCACATTAAATTTACCTTATTGCACTTCAGAATAAAGATCTCGGCGCCAATACTTCTACTCAAACAGTCAAACTGTAGTTCGCACTACTCATGGGGCCTAGCACCTGCTCACTGAATCGAACTCTCCGATATTTACAATCCTGGACAAAACGTTGTGGACAACCCACAGCCTCGAATGGCGTTTTTTCTAAACAATTATCCCCCCGCTCCCCCAAGTCAATGTTGAATGGGATTTTTCATGAAATACGAAGTGTGGTTAAGTCGGACATGCAACATTGAAGGGGGGGAGTGGGGGATGTGCAAGTACATTCAAGTTTTAGGTGTTTGTTATGATTTTTGCAAAAGTGGGTTAAGTGTCCACATAAGTTTTGGCCCGGATGGTCTGAAAATCACTGCAGAAAATAATACACGATTCTTGTATTTAATATGATACAAAACGGCCAAAAATATGCTTTGTAAGTAAAATTGCGCTTATTTTCATCTCAATAATCCATTCTTGACCATTTTTTGAAAAAAATTATCCGGTAAGACACAGATCTCCTAAGCAAAAAACACGCGCCCATGAGCCTAATTTTTAGCAATAATTAGTAAATATGTGACAAGAGTGACAGGAATATGCATTGTACTAGTTCCAAGTTTGTTTATGCATTCTTGAAGTGCTTGAGAATCAAATTTATACAACTAAATGACATTTTTCATACAAGTATTAAAAATTCGTTAACTTCACTAAGTCTTGCTGCTTACGATATATGCTAGTATGTTTGTCTGTTTTAACTATACTGTATATTACAGCTTCCTTCTGACAGTTCAATTTCAAGGTACATCTAAAACTTGCTGAATACAATGCTTGACAGAAAACTATACATGATTTAAGACGGGAACTACACATCTGAAATATATTAAGTTACAGGGCTTTGCTGTAATTATTAAGTTGATATGTTATACTTTCCGATCGAATGACGTGATGTGTAGCATAATATTCAAAGCTCGAATCATGGTCTACACTTTTTTTGCAGTGATTTTAGAAGTATATAAGTGCACAATCGATAAAAAGTATAGATTAAAAGGCTCGTCGATTCCTTTACTGCGTAAATTATGAAAGCATTCTAATAACAAGTTTAATATGTAGGTAGTTCCGTAAGAAGAAATCGTTACGTTTCAATTCACTAATTGTATGTAATTCAAGTCCGAAGTTACTGTAGACCGTGCTAGTCGGCGCACAGTATTGAAAAGTGTAATGCAATATTTCATTGTTTGACAAACAATAGTAATATAATATTTACAAATATAAGTGCATTGTATGTATTTAATGGCTGTAGTTGTATCGAATGTGAGTAACAGTTTATGATAAGCACTTATGTTTGGAAATGCTAAGAATCTTCAATGTCATATTATATTGCCTTTCAAATGGCTAAAAAGGTTAACATGATTATTTCATTTTAGGTACTGAAGCTTTTCCAGTCTGATATTGCGAGGTTCTTGTCATTGGCACGCAATATATTATAGGCTATGTATAAAAATATAGGCTGTTCAAAATTATAAGAGTCGTTAATATCACTAAATGTGCAAAAATACAATTATTTATTCCAAAGAATAAGGTAATTGCTGCATTTCTTGAGACGTTCTGGAATCATACTGAATCTCCGTGATACGACACTGAAAATTTTATGCACCGTCGATTTCTCTCCTATTAAAGCTTAAATGTGCTCCTTGGCTACGTATCTGAACTGTAATGTCGGTTTACCTTTCATGTATCAGATTGCGAAAAAGTTATGCTCGCACCTATTCAGTATAGTTCAGTTTTACGCACGCTTCCCACAAATGAGCTTATATTTGCAACATCCAGAAGTGACGTAATTGCTAATAGTGATGTCATCAGCGATCAAACTGTATAATAAAAAACTTAGAATACATAGGTATGCATTATAGTCACATCAGACGTATCAAATGTTAAAGAGCAAGCGACAAAACAGCGCTTCTCAATACCCATCATTTTTCAGACAATCCTGGACAAAACATTGTGGACAACCCACAGCCATTGGCCTCGAATGGCGTTTTTTCTAAACAATTATCCCCCCGCTCCCCCAAGTCAATGTTGAATAGGTTTTTTCATGAAATACGAAGTGTGGTTAAGTCGGACATGCAACATTGAAGGGGGGGAGTGGGGGATGTGCAAGTAAATTCAAGTTTTAGGTGTTTGTTATGATTTTTGCAAAAGTGGGTTAAGTGTCCACATAAGTTTTGGCCCGGATTGTAGCGTCGATTTTCCTCCCAAGATCAGCACGACAGTCTTGTAAGACAGCTAAATTATTCACCGCAATTGCGGATTGAACCAATTCGAGAATACTACAAGGATTGGAGCAGCAGACATTTCCGAATTTTCCGTAGAGCTCCAACATCACACTTCGAATGAGCGCACGCTTGTAAAGACTTTAGCACTCGTCAAATATTAATGATATTCCGACTTAACGGAGTGCCCCTGACTTTTGTAAATCGGTCAGAACTCCCCACAGATCAGTCAAAATCGCTAAAAATCGCTTGTTTCCATGGCAATAAGCATCTAGACCAATCAGAACGCTGGATTTTGACTTTTTGAACGACCGACTTTGCGTATGTCAGCAGCTCATTGACTTGACTAAACTCGTCGGCTCAGCCACTGTATGAAATTTGATCATTGGTCTACAGTTCGATTGGAATGTTAATTGCTAGCGCTGGATGATAATAGATACTGGACTGATACTTGTTGTGTTGGTGTAGTGTACTCAGGTGAATAAGATGCTTGTGATGTTACTCTGAGTGTATATCCACACCGGGCAGGCTTGAAAAATATGCCTGACCACGGTGGGAACTGTTCTGTTATAAGGTGTCGCTGGACACTGGACTATTATAAGGTGTTGCTGCATGATAAAAAATAACTGGACTTTTGGTCGAATGTTTAAGACTTTAATTAAGTTTGCAATTTTTACGTTAGTCACGTGACTGGTTTGAAGACCCCTAGATCCGCCCCTGCTCAGATTTACTAGTCAATTAGCCAATCAGGACGCACAAAAGCTCATTTGATATGCAAAATTTATACTAAATAGTATTAATATACTTTTTTTCAAAGCTGATGTCAAACAGCATAGAAATGAATTCACAAACATTATATCTTTTTAAGGTACAATACACATTACGTAAGTTAGACAATGTAACTTATGTCGTGCCTCCGGGTTAAAGAACGAAGTGTCAACCAAACTAGACGATTATTGTATTTTTCAATTTCTCTATGCTTCATCCAGTTCAGATTTACCACCAACAAAATTTGTTCCTCTGTCACATCTTAGCACTGATGGTGGTCCCCGAATAGCGAAGAAATGTCTCAGAGCACAAATGAATGAGCTTGTATCCATTGTTTCTAAGATCTCAATATGAATGGCTCGACAGTTTAAACAAGTAAATATCAGACTCCATCTCTTTGAATTTGCTGCTCCTCCTCGTAGTTTTCTCGTACGTATGGTCCAGGGTCCGAAAACATCAAAACCAACATTTGTAAATGGTGGCGGTGTGTTTAGTCAATCAGGTGGTAGGTCAGCCATATGTTGTGTCCTCAGTTTTCCTCTGAGCTTTCTACAGACTACACATTGATGAATTATTCTTGAAATCATCCTTTTAACTCCAACGATCCATAGCCCTGCTTGTCTGATAGCCCCATGTGTTATCTGTCTTCCTTGATGGTACACTTTTCCATGGTAATGGCAAACTGCTAGCTTGGCCAGATGACTCCCCTTCGGTAAAATAGCGGGACTTCTTTTAAAGTAAGTAGATGATGATCGTCAGTCTTCCGTAACTTTATTCTGATGGTCAAATTGGATATTGCTCTACGTAGTGAGGACCATTCGGAAAATCTTTCAAATCGGCTTGATCCTAACCCTTGAGCCTTAGAATGTTCGGTAACATAAGTGGTGATTTGGGTGTGAACTTCAGGATCATTTTCATCTATCTCAAAAACTTCGACATCGATTATCTCAGAAGAGGAATCGGTAGAATCAGGATTCTTTAGGAATTCAGGACCGGTAAACCAAAATGAATGCATTAGGTCTTTCGCAGGTTTGCCTCGCGTTGCTATATCCACTGGATTTTCTGTGGAGTCCACGTATTTCCACTGAGTAGGATCTGAAATATGTCGAATTGTCTGGATTCTGTTCGCTACGTAAACGAAAAACCGACGTCTTTCGTTTTGGATATAACCAAGGACTATCCTTGAGTCAGTGTAGAAAACAATTTTGTCCACGTCCATTTTGAGCTCACGTGTAATCCATTTCACTGCTTTAACTGCAAGAACCGCGGCACACAGTTCCAGTCTTGGAATTGCTGTAGCTTGCTTCGGAGCCAATTTTGCTTGCGCGAACACCAACGAAACGTTGATTTTCCCTGTTTGGTTGACCAACTTTAGGTAAACTGCGATCCCAATTGCACCATCGCTGGCGTCCGAAAAGGTGTGGATTTCAACTCTTCTAATGAGCTTTGAGTTCACTGGAAGAAAGCACCTTGGTATGAAAACTTTGGTATGGTCGATAAGTGAATCTTTCCAATTTTGCCATTTTCTTCGAAAGGGAATAGGAAGCGGGTCGTCCCAGCCACGTGGTTTGTTGCCATTTTCTGTTGTAGTCAATTGACGTAATGAAGTCTTCCAGATAACGAGACTGGGGTTGCGAGACCAAGAGGATCGTAAATGGAATTGATGACGGACAGAACTCTGCGACGGGTGAACGGTTTATCAGGCAAGTCGATTCTAAACGTTAGAATGTCTCTTTGTAAGTTCCACATTACACCCAGAGATAATTGAGAGGGTAAAGGATCTCGACGGAAATCTAGGTTTTGCATGTTGTCGACTCGGTCTTCAGGTGGTATAGCTTCCATAACCGTAGCTGAGTTTGATGCAACCTTGTGTAATCTGATATTTGCTGTCGCCAACATCGACTGCGTATTTTTAATGAAGTTAATGGCTTCCTCGCTGGTCGAGCACGATGTTAGACCATCGTCAACATAGAAGTCGTTTTTAACGAAATCCTTGGCGGTGTGACCAAATTTCTCCTCGCCATCGTCAGCAGTTTTTTGAAGGCCAAACATCGCAACAGCTGGACTGGAAGTGTTACCAAATAGATGCACCGTCATTTGATACTCAATAATCTTTTTCATACGGTCGTTGTCTTCGAACCAGAGAAATTGTAACAAGTCATGGTGCTCGGGTTTCACAAAAAAATTGTAGAACATTTGTTCTATATCACAAGTAACAGCGACGGTGTTACGTCTAAATCTAATGAGTATTCCTAAAAGATTGTTCAATATGTCGGGACCCAATAACAGTTCTTTGTTAAGTGAAGTTCCTTCGAATTCCGCAGAAGAGTCGAATACTATGCGAATCTTTCCAGGTTTTCGTGGGTGGTAAACACCAAAATGGGGTAGGTACCAAATTTTTCCCGAAAGGCCCTTTTTGTTTGTTAGCTTATTGTCCGGAACTGGAATAGCGTGACCACGTTGCAATAGTTTCTTCATGAATTCAAAATAATCTCTTTCCATCTGAGGTTTTCGTTTAAAGGTCCGTAGCAAATTGTTCATACGACTCGAAGCTTGTTCTCGGTTGTTTGGAAAGGATACATCAGCATTTCGAAGAGGCAACGGCATTTCCCAATTTCCATTTTCATTTTTATGAATTTCTGACTGCATGACTTTCACGAACCGCTGGTCTTCGATGGACATACTTGGCTCATTGTCACGATCGGTGGTCTGAAAGACGTCATTGAAATTTTCCGTTTCTTCATAGCATTCTTTCACCTCAAACTTGTTTGGACAAGGTATGAATTCATGATAGAAATCATTACTTCGATATGCGGACTTTATTTCAGGTTGAATGTCTACATCATGTTTGACTTCGCCAGACGAACCATGGATGACAGCAGGGTCGCATAATATAGCGGACCGCAGAACCATTGGTCCCAGAAAATTTTTGAGGTTGGCAGAAAAAAATGGGAGGGTAAAACTTAAGTCTCAAAAGGAAAAAAAAATTAAAGAGAAAGAAAGAAAGAAAGGAAAAACAGAAAGGAAGAAAATGAGAAAAAATTACATAATTGAGTAATAAGCTGTAGGTAGAGGAACTAGTGATGTTTGCAACATGCAAGTAATACAAGTTTCCAATATACTGGTGTCACAGGAGATTCGCCCCCCACAGGAGATTCGCCACCCCTTTAGGAATTTCGCCCCCCCCCCCATATAAATTTTGAATTTTTGATCTAAAAACAAAACGATTGCAAGTTGAAAAGATTTGTTGTGTGATTTATTTATTTATTACAAGGAGACAAAATTACATACACATTTTAAGCTTTTTAGCAGCTGGTGGTGTGCACTGTTGGCATAACCACTCATTTGAGGTACTTAAACTAGTGTCATATGCATATTCTACACATCTAAAGTGGAACCATTGCCCACAGAGATCGCATAAAATCATGTTGTTGTATTCTTCTAGCAGTTTACATTCACATAAGGTTGCGATTGTGACGGTGTGTTGTCTTGGCTGTGCTGCTGGTTTTTGTTGTGTTTGGGGGAGGTGGGTCAGTTCTCTATTCTCAAAACAGGAGAGAAGATGGCTACTTACACTATAGCCATTCAATCATTGCATGTTTATGTCACTTATATTATAATAATATCAATAACATATTATAAAAACAATCACATAAGAACAATCGCTATTTTATCAATAGCATTGTTAACAATCCTGTCATGGTAATCACTTGCTAACAATAAACTATTAGGATTAATTGTCAACTTTCCATGTCAGTGTCAGTGATGTAATCTTGATCCTTGACTTCCGCAAAGAAAATTGCATGATATATATCTGGTGTGGTTTATTCAAATAATTTCATGATACTTTGATTTTATTAGTGCTTTAAACATTTGAGAATGTAACTCTGCAAAACTAAAAGCTTTTTTGAAACATATATTATTAGAGTATTGCCTATTGGCAAGTTCTACCCTTCGCTTCTGAAATTTACAAACTATATTGAAATAATGCAAGTAAAAAATAGTGCCAACTTATAAGGCATACATTTTCCGATAACGATAAAACATGGATGCAAAACAATACCAATAATTACAATAACAACCATGGTGATTACCTTTTAACAATGATTTTAGGGATTAACACTGAAAATGCAAAATATGCATGGTGTGCTGTGAAGCGTCATAAGTCCTATTGATCTACTGTAACTGTGTAAGCCCTTTGGATACATGTAATTGTAAATTTGTATTCTTACAGGGCTTCAAATAACGATAATCTTTCCATGTTTCGTGCACCAATATAGTAAACGTTATGTACTGGATATTATAGTGTATTTCCTAAAGGGAGCCGAAATTCCTAGGACTTTAAGTCCTAGGACTTTAATTGGGGGGGGGGGGGCAAAAATCCTGGGACACCGGTACATGCGGCACTCCAGCAGCCTGATATTATGGTCCACGATAGGCAAGACAGCAGTCTAGTCTATATTAAGACGAAATCCTCTACGTGTATTAGCCACTTCTGAAAATACCACTCCAGTTATATATAAATACAACAACTCATTTAACAACTACAGTATGCATATTAAAAAGTCTACCAGTGTGGTGATTTCTTACAATGTAGTAAAAAATGTAAGCAATATGTTCCAATACACAACAGCCTTCTGCCCTTCTCATGAACTTTCATCCATTAATTAAGACGATATTCATATTCATAACAAATATATTAAAATTATAAGAATCTAGAATCTTAAACTGCAGACAGTTCCCAGTAGTCACTTTCGTCATTTATTAAAATGTAAATGTTTGTTGTTAAATTAAAATATAAAGAGTATTTATTCTGCAGCCATGTTGAAATACATCTACCCTGTTGGCAGTGGCTTCGGAGCTGAGGAGAAACCACTGTGAGCAAACAAATGACTTTCTATTGAGCATGTGCAAAGATCACATGGTGGAACGTACATCACTAATTTGACTTCATTTCCTGTAGTTTGACAGTTTGTTATCTGTACGTAAACAAGTGTGGCATACATAGATATCTTATATACACTAGATAGCGCATCTCTTTTAGTAAAATTGAAGCCAAGAATATTCCAGCGGTTACCCCCATTTGAATAGATGGCGGCCATATTGGTCGTTCCCACTTGCTAATAAACGCTTAACTAGGGATCCAAGGATAGTGTGAAGTTTCAAAAGAAAGACTACTATATAGGCTCGCTGACAACCTAGAAAAGCTGATGGCTTACACTACGAAATAAACAATTACCAAAGGCATTTCATCTCATTCATTATAATGCGTTCGGCACACGAGTAGCGTAACGTTTGAAACAAGCCTAACACATCGGAAACGTGCCTTGTGAAACTGCACAATTTATCTATTTATGTAATGCTACATGCATGCTAAATTTCAATTGTTTCACCAATAACCAAATTTTGCATATTCTAAATTTTCATTTGCATTTGCATTTGCAGCTGTCGCTAAAAGTATCCCCAAGAGGCTACTGCTATGCTAAACTTATCTAAAACTATAATTGAAATAGCTGTATACGATATGTTATGAACAATAAGCACTACGTAGTTATATCATTGAAAGGAAGCATTTTATCTTCATCCGTTCCGTATTTTATCCGCATATCCGTTCCGTGGATCCGCTCCATCCGCTTCCGCATTTTAACCTAATTGTGACATGTTTCACAATAACAAGTCTCATTGACCTTTGACTTTTCGAAGGTCACGTTGTGTCTATTTTCAGCTTTTCGCATACGTTGAATAATGTCACTTTAGATTTCAATAGTTTCACAGTTATAGCTGCAGTGTTTATTAAAGCAGTTTTGACAAGCTTTGATACAGTTGTGTGTACAGAATACTACAGATTCATTCTCGTTTTAGATTCTCGATTAGAGTTATCGTTGCACTGAACAGGACTTTGCACCGTTGACAACGGCGTTGTGCTAGACAGTAAACAAGGTCCGTGACAGTACACGTTGGCTACATGTACCTCCTTGCTTTTTTCTTCCATTGCATAAATCTTGTTGACGAGCCAAGCGATTGGCGATAACACGTTGGCGATAATTGCACATTGGCTATCTCCTCGTCTTTCTTATTTAAATAAGGAGCTCTGACTCAACTGATTTCTTTCGTCTCGCAATATTTTCTTCGTAAACGCCTGTACAAACACGGAAACACCCGCTTCTGTTTAATAGTTGTTTACGCTTTATTGATCTGATGCAGATCTGATGCAATTTTTCGCTCTTTGTACTGAGTTCTGTGATGTAGCACCTTTATATACAGTCAATGACAATGTATAATGAAATACACGGTCTAAATAATATCGATGGGCACTTAATTGAATGCCGGTAATCATAACATCAATTTATATATTATATTATTGCGTTGAATCTCAAAGATTTTCTCAATATTCATGTCTGAAATGTTTATATACTTGAAAACAACACTGTCTCGCTTCTCCATACGTACTGTACCAACGTATAATGAGTATACCGTGAAAATAATATCAGCACCTCAATTGATTGCCTAGAATCTCAAAGATTTTCGACTCAATATTTAATACGTCTGAAATGTTTATACACTTGAGTGTTGACTGCACTGTCTAGGCGGTCTAGCTCCTTCCTAGCTCTGTATAATGAATATACCGTCTAAATATTATCGGCACTTAATTGAACGCCCGTAATGCATAAGATCAATTTATTTATTGCGTAGATTTTCGAAAATTTACTCAATATTCACGTCTGAAATGTTTATGCATCTGAAAACAACACTGTCACTCCTTCCTAGTATATCGTCACGCCATCGTGATCTACGGCTTGATAGCGCATGCGCATTTGCCCTACTAAAGAAAAATCGGGTGTTCCGGGGTAAAGATCCTTTACAGATGTAAGATCCTTTACAGATAGAATGTACTATAGAACTTATTGTAGTTATATAGGGCTCTCGTTGATAACAGACCAGTTGTGGTCTGATGAGACCACCCTATCAAAATAAAAGTTTTATCTATCTATCTATCTACATAATATGAGAAGCGAATGTTCTAAAATTTACAAAAAATTACAATAACAAAAGCGATTCCTCGAAATTTTTGTGAACTTGCCAAAAGGATAACAGAATATGTAAATAAGTTAACTGAAATTGCTTAAATAACCTTCAAAGTACTGACAAAGCACAATAAATCACTACGAACATAAATCGTATACACCCCCCGGAAAGTTTACTGTATGACTGACTGATAAGTTTGAATTTCTCCCCAGTCATCACAATACTGTGAAGTTTCGAAGAAACTTCACACTAAAAACAACAATAACTTTCATCATTTGAATGGCTTAAAAATGTATTTGGAATAGGATTAACTTAATGTTTATGTTCCCTGTTTAAGAAATAGAAAACATGCGAATCTTCTCAGTTTCATGGGAACGACCTGAGACTGCAATCACGGCTTCAATTTTTGAATTGCAGAATAATTAGATGCACTATCTAGTGTATATAAGATATCTATGGTGGCATAGTACTGCTTTATTTTTTGTCTGTCAGTTTTAATCGAACAGCTTTTTATTCTACATTCCTAGTGCGTGCAGAAAATATTTTTGTTGGCTTTGTGGTCCCAGAAAGTAAAATATTTTATGCAGCTCTGGATGACAGTACGATGTGTTTGAACATGAACAGGTGCTCCTTGCCGATTGACACACAATCGTCCACACACAGTCCAACCAATGGCCAACTTGTGCGCCCATGGTGCTCCTTTGGGACCATTGCGAACTTCCCGAACTTTCATGATCTCTGGTGCATCGCGACCAATCAGCAATTGAACCTGAGCTTTCGTATCCAGTGGAGGTATTTCATCCGCGATTTTGCGAAGATGTTCATATTGCTTGACTAATTGTGTTGTTGGGATTTCATGTTTCTCTGTGGGGATGTTGTCACATTCCACCAAGGTTGGTAGCTGTTTGGAAACTCCGTTCATTGAAGTTATCGTCAGTCCTGAAACACGACGTCCATATTTGGTTTCCTTCTTTGCACTACAAGTGGACAGAAAATATTTATCTTTCGTTCCAGTTATTCCCAATTCATCAACCAACTTCGGACTAATCAAAGAAGCGTTGCTTTGTTCATCAATTAATGCGTAGACTTTTGTTATTTTGTTTGGTCTTTGCGGGTGAAATATATTGAGCAACACAATTTTACTGCAGGACACTCCACCGAAAGTCTTACGTCCAACGTTCGTATTAGCTGATGACACTTCTTCCTCTTCTTGCCTTTTCTTTCTCTCCATATGAAGCATTTCAAGTGACGGTCGCTACCACACTTAGTGCATTTGACTTTCCTTTTACATTCTTTGGCTAGATGTTTCTGCATCAGACAACGATAACAAAGTCCAGCTTTTTTCAACCATTGCGTTCTTTCTTGCAGAGTTTTTTGTGAAAAGGCTTTGCATTCCGGTAAGTTGTGGGCTTTCATATCATGAAACGTGCAGTATTTCTCATTATCCGATTCTTCGATTATCTCTACGTCTTCTTTCAAAACTTTGTAATCGCGTCCCCATGTGGCACCTTTCTCCTTTCGCGTACTTTCAAACGTGGCTGTGACGTTTGGATGGTTGCGTAGTAACGATTGTTTCTCTATCATGTCAGCGAAAGCCTGAAAATCTGGATAAGCATCGTGATTTTCTTCTGCATATTCTACCACTATTTTCTCCCATCTTCGGCGAATGTATTCTGGCAAACTGTTCAAGATAGGTCGAATTGCAATTGAGTAATTCAGACATCCGAGACCAGGAAGTTGGTCGATCTGGCGGGCTATGTCAATACATAGGTCTGAAAATGCCTGGAGCTTTTTTCTTTCGTGTTCTCCAAACTTCGCTTGCTCTTTTAATCTCACCAGAAAGGTATTCGTGATGGTAGCAGCGTTGCCATATCGTTTCTCCAATTCTTTCCAAAGATCATTTAACAGCACTGACATGTTATTGCTCTGTCTCTTGCGGAAACTATCCACCAATTTCTGAGGTCCAGCTCTTGTGTACGTATGTAAATAGTTCATCTCTTGCTCTGGAGTTACATCTGTATCATGCAGCATGCCTTTCAATCCGCTCTTCCATGGATGAAACATGGTTGGGTCGCCAGAAAATAGGTCAGGATGGCACTTCGGAAGACTTATTCGCGCTTGATTCGAGGCCAATTTTTCGTTTGTTGTGGCAACTTTCATACTTCCCTGAAGTATTGCCCCGAGGTTACCGTGGACTTCTTGGGTTTGTGACTTGATGTGCAGCTCATTGTCTGTATGAGACAATTCTACGTCCATCATTCGTGGTTTTTCAGTGCGCATACGAACACCCAAATTCTTTGCTTCCAATCTTTTAGATTCTAGCTGGGTCTTGTCCCGTTGTTGGTCCTGTATCCAGGCTTTAGTGCGTAGCCTTGACATTACGCTAGATCTTTCGCCTTCCTCCGATTTGTTCGAAGATGACCTTTCTTCGTTAATGGACTGTTCAATGGCCTTGAGTTTCGCTTCGGCTGAAGCTTTCCTTTTCGTTGCTGCCAGAACCGCCATATCTCTTTTGTGTTGTGCCCTTGCTGCGATTCGATCCCGTTCTTCTTCGGCTTCCAGTTGTTTTCTTTCGTTCTCTCTCTCAGTTATTAATACATCGTATTCTGCTTTTTTCCTTGCCGCGGCTGCGTCTGCCAGTGCTTTCATTCGAGCAGAGGTTGACGATGCATAGGATGATCTAGATCGCTTTGAACGTCCCAACGATCTTGAGTCTTTTAAAACGACCTCGTCCTTTTCATCTGTACTCTTCAATTTCTTAGTCAGTTGCTGTCGTGCATTCAATTTCTCAGTCACTTGGCATAGGGCTGATTCAGCAGATTGAATATACTTTATACTTGTAGCTTTAACTTGGCTTTCCACGTCGGCACTTTCACCCCATCTGTTCTCGGTAAACAAGCGTTCTAAGTTTCTGTAGCTACTTTCAAAAGCTTGTTTGTTTATCTCCAACGAAACAGTTACGCGCTCAAGCATGGTTGTGTCGTGTTCCCCTTCAATAGCGCTGTGCACCGATGCAATTGCTCTCTGCAGAAGTTTTGTTTGCTTGTTAAATGCCCCCGTTTTCTCGACCAATGAGTTCTGAAACCCTTTTCGCGTTGGGATTCGTTCTCGTCTAATTTTCGCATCTGTAAATTCGGCCATATCCATTTGATTCTTTTCTGCAGAACTCTCAGACATTCAAGTTGTTGATTTGTATTTCAAACTCGAAATTATTCAATGTTCAATAATCCGTAACATAATAGACGTTTAGCGACGCGAGACCAGGCGATATATTCCAACAAATGAGAGCGTTCCAAGTAAGATTTTGGACATGATTAAACTGGCAATTATAAGATTGTATGCACATAATATTAATTAAGACAAATAAAATGCTGAAGTATACAAGTAATTGCATGAGCACATCACATGTTAAACGATTACTTCAGACAATCATGCTAAGCAATTGTTAAGTTAATTAACATAAATAAACAATTACTACTTACATTAGTAGAAGGATGACCTTGAATAAGCAGAATCGTGTTTATCCTTTGTATTCGACTTAACTCATGGCATCTCATGAACATGATACCATATATTAAACATGCAGCTGGAATTTTCTTTTCAGGAAGATACATGATATCAAGTAGCTTGGACAATATGTCTGATACAACTGGACAGCGAGTAGAAAGTTCATTCATCACTTCAGTCATCCAATTTTCATCAGACATTCCTTCATATGATCTTTTCCGCAATACTGATGGCTCACTTCTTCTGCCAATTTCAACCCACTCTTCATTTGCCTTGGACATACCATCATTGATTGCCTGAGTGGTTTCATACTGGAAGGAAAAGGGTTGACTGTCTAAAAAAACACAATAACTGAAATTAGTTTATCTTAGGATACAGTGATCTTGTATTTCCTTTAGAGGGTACAGATACTGTTAGTAGTGATCACGGTGTAGTGACATATACATACACAGTAATTAAAAACCCTTTTCCGTGATTGCAGAGAATTATTTTTGCATGTTTGCATGCATGCAGGTTGTTATAGTAATGTAAAAGAATTGTAAGCATGCAAACATGCAAAACTTAAACCTTGGCTGCCTGGATCGATTGGGGTCAAGGGAATATGATTTTTCAGTGGCACAATGTAAAGTCTCATATTATTTATGCATTATGATGTTGCATCAGAAGTCTAAATACTACACAATATTTGTAACAGCTAGAGGTGGATAAGAATGAAATGGTATGTAATAGAGGTGCTGTTTCACTCAACTCTCTTAATGTTTAAATGTTTGTAGTAAACTTGTAATAACACACAATATTTGTATACAGACATGGATAAGAATGAAATGGTATATATCAAATAGAGGTGCTGTTTCACTAAACTCTATTGTTTAAATGTTTGTAGTAAACTTGTAGTAAGCACACATGTACATACACTTTTTTATAAGAACAAACTTAATATGAGCATTGTGAGCCTTAAAATGGAAAAAAATTGGAACACTTAAGCCTGGGCAAATTTCACTGGTTCTGATAAAAAAGTGTAGTTGAATACTTGAATGTCATACATTTTGCCACATGTTATGACTTAAATGTCATACATTTTACCACATGTAATGTATAATACCCTATGATAATACCATACAGTAATACGGTATTTGTCTTCATAAATTATGTATGAATTTATGCACGGTTTATTAAATAATCAACACACTTATTCATATATTACTATTTCGTTTTACATTTATACAGCTTGAGAGACAAAATAATAGTTATTAAACTAGAATGAATACTCTCATTGTGTATGAATGTGCTCATTGTGTGATCAATTACTGTAAGTTTCAGGGTTTTGGAAAACGTTTTACAATCACAGATTCTATATCAAACTGTTAAATTCGCATTCCATACAAAAGCGGTTATATCATGCTTTTTTGCGCATTTAATACAAGCATAGTTAATATAGAAGACCGAGTTTGGAAGGCCGGCAAACTTCAAAGCAACACGTGATCAAATGGGATACCATGTTACAAAGTACGTCACGTGACAGCTTATAGTGCATTCGAGCTGCAATTCATAGTAGAAACTTATAGAAAATAGAGGGATCTTTGTCTAAAATCACCATTTTCGCGTCTCATACGAGGTCTATGGAGCCATGCGGCATTGAATACATGGAGATGGACGAAGAGAGTTCTTTGCCATTTTATGAAGGCAATGGAGCCTATAGTTCGGGTTTTGAAGACGATTTTGAGCAAACTCTTGCTAATGCTTGGATATGGACTTCGAGGTGGTGATGATCGAGGTTCAAAATTCTCATGAAGAGGTGAGTTAAATATCAAAATAACTTATAAAAGTAAGCCGTGCCTTTTCAATAACCTCACCTATAATTTAACTTGAATCTAGGTTGAAGGAAATAAGCAATTCCCTTGCGACTTTTGTGAGAAAATTTGCAAGTCAAAGGGTGGTCTAACAAAACATCAACATCCTTCTGAAGCTTTATATTATAAATTAAAAGAAAGAAGAGCAAAGAAAACTTTCTAAAGGAGTTTCATGGCAATACAAACGCCCATTGGCAACAATATTTTCATCCTTATCGTGACAAGAAGATGATGTTTTTTTATCCTAATTCATCTCCCAGAGCGTTTGTTGACATGTATTGAGCAACCATTTGACTCTGAGGTAATTGTTTTCTGAGTTTCTGACATAGTTATATTTATCAGTTTGACCTAGCTAGCTAGATGGTGTATGTCTGGAGGTAGTGTATTTCAATAAGGTCTATAAATTGTATAATATATAATACTGGTCAAACCTATATAAAGTTCCCTCAAATTATTTAATAATTTTAAAATACAACTACCCTGTACCCACAACCATCTTGGTTTCCAAATGGTAATGGACCAGGGTAATACCCCTGGGTAGAAATATAGTAGCTCAATTTAACCATGCAGTGTATTAGCATTTATTGTGTTTTTATTAACTTATTTTAGGAAGAAGTTTCTGTATCATCACAAGAGCTTGGCCATTGACCTATTTGGCTGGTTATGTCATGAACTCATGATAAGATCTTTGTATCGAAAAAGCAAAAATTGTTCCAGGTGGCACTCCCAGAGAAACAAAGAAATTCAAGCCTTGATGTATTCAATGCGAACTGCAACAGAGGACAATGAGCATAGGCGTACG